TTTGACAATGATGAAAGTAATTGCATTCATACTCGTTCTTCATCGGGCATTGCTCTTATCACCACTGTAAATACAAATATGTACAGGCAAGTTTGGTAAATGCCATAGCGTTATTATTTACTCAGATTAGTATTGTCATGCTTTTCTTCTTCTTCCACGTGTATAGGGCGGTGCAGCCTTTGTCAAGTAGGCATTTATGATGTAGGGAAGCGTACGAGTGAGAAAGATAAACGAGATACTCTCTCGATAAAAATCACACCCAATTCATATTTTTATTCAATGTTCCACCCCCGTCACAAACCCCTCAAACTAAACCTAGCTTATTCTCTAAGCTACTACTAATTATTAAATAATAATAATAATAAAGGTTGAAGGTCGCCCAACAACCCCGTTGGAGACGTCCTCATGACATGAATAGCTCGATGTTACCCCCGATCAAACACAAAGGTCGCCCAACAACCCCGACGGAAAACATAAGCTTGAGCAAGTGTTAGCACTGTTTCAGAGGCACATGTACACGCCTCCATACGAATAAACCACACAGTGTAATTATCTCCAAACACACCACTTCATTCGCTACGCTCAAACCCATAACAACGGCCGAGCATCTTGTTGTTAGGAGACTTTCTGATAGACAATCGGAAAATGACACACCAGTTATTCAGCCACGACTTCAGTTCCGAAAAATCATCTTTGACCAAGATACTCTGAAAATCGGGTCTGAACGACGGCGTCCCATTCGAATGCTCAATCTCTGCGACGTCCCGCGTTGGAGCCATAGTGCCGCAAAAATACGTCTTTGTTACCGGAGGCTCCTCATAAAAAAGTGGCGGACTGTCGTAGATATCACATGTGTCGGGCTCGAAATTCGGGGAATCTATAAACTCGAAGTCAAAGCCTGTTTGTGGTTGTTCAGGCTCAAAATAAGAATTAAATCCGTCCTTTCCCTGAGCCCAAAAAATTGAATTGGGCCATCTCTGCGCAGGCCCAAAAGTGTGAAAGAAATTCGTGCGTCTCTGCTCATCATCTACGAGCTCGATTCAAACCATCTCTCCAATCCCGGCGCTGCACCTCTACAACTCCGGTGCCGGTCCAGCGACGGTCGCGCCTAGGGCCATCGGACCTTCCTTCAGCGGCTCGTCGACCGTCAACTGCCCAGGCCGCCTCACGACTTCGCGTGGCCAGAGTTCGCCTAGGGTTTCTTCGTCCCTCCAGGCGGCGCGACCATGGTAGTCACCGACGTCCTCAGCTACGAGGCGCCCATCGCGACCCCAGCCCGCCTCAGTAGGTCGGAAAATTTCCCCTTGGCAGCAGGAAAATGCAATTCGTAGAAATCAGATGCCTTCATGTGCCGTGGGTATGTGCCGACGTTGCTGGCAGCCTCGCACCCGCGGTCCCAGCGGCATCGCGGCAGATCGAACCTAGTGAAGGCTGCGCCCTCGAGATGGGACCCCCGTCTGCGAAATTCACGATGTTGGCTGAAGCCTAAAGCAGTCCGTCGAAAATTGCCATCTATGGTTGCGCGATTCAGTGGAAATTGGTAGTCAAAACTCTTATCAGGCCTCTGCCGGCTGCGAAACCAGACCGCCCCTAGGGTTTCTCGTCGTTGCGCTCGCCACCATGTCCGAAACCACCTTCAGCCCACGATTGCTCGCAAACTCGGGCTTTCCTAGGGTGTTGTCGTCTCCTCGCCATGGTGTTCGATCAGTAAATGAGTTAGCCGACCCAGTAGAGTCACCAACGTCGTTGCCGTTCAGAGGTGGCGGGGATCGCTGCCGGGGCGCCACGACATGGCTTCTCCCACGTTCGCCTCTGTCTCCCCCGCGATTGCCACGGTCCACGACCCACAGTTCCGTCTGCAATTCCAAAACAACCACGTTGTTATGCGTCAAATACAAATCCTCGATCCCCGTCAAAAGATCGGCAAACCAATCCGTGAAACGCACGTCTAATTGTTGAAATCGGTAGTCGATCTGTTGAAGCCGATTGATGAAGGTTGCGTCACGTTGTTCGTCTGCGGCATCTTGTCGTCCCGACGACATCGCGAATCGTACTGATAACGGCTGATACCAACTGATAGCAACTAACGTACGAGTGAGAAAATGAACGAGATACTTTTTCGATAAAAATCATACTCAATTCATATTTTTATTCAATGTTCCACCTTATCACAAAACAGAATAACTCTTTAAATAAATCAGTCAAACTAAACCTAGCTTATTCTCTAAGCTACTACTAATTATTAAATAAATAATAATAATAATAGTAATTATAATAATCATCATAATTATTCTGCACCAATTTATTTATAATAATATCNGGCGGGAGTAGGGAGACAGTAAAAAAAATTGTGATATTAAATCCAGAGGTGCTGCTGGAGTTCTATCTTCAAATTTTCAGATCTTAAATCCAACAACTCATACATCTAGATCAATCAATTAAACCTCCACAGGAAAAAAAAATTAAATTTTGTGAAACCCTGATTAACCCACTTCGAGAGGGAGACGATATCGGAGACAGGTGTGGGATCCAGCTGTAATCAAAGAAAAAAAAAGGAAAGTGGTGGCAGACGCCCACCACAATTGAAAAGAAAAAAAATCAAGCCCATCACTACTGAAAGGAAAGAGAAAATGAAGCACGGTTTCTTTCGTTCACATGTACATTCTCCCCTCTACAAATAGAGGGGGGTCATTCAGCAGAACAAACAAACCAAACGAGAAGAAAAAAGAGAGAGCAAGGAAAGAAAATAAAAATATTTAATAAAGTGTTTGAGTAAATTCTGTGAGTGTGGGATAAATACACCGGATTGGATATCATCTCTATTACTCCTTGTTTGTAATATTTGAATAGGAGTGTGATCTCACTGGTCACTATATTTTACATCTCTATTACTCCTTGTTTGTAATATTTGAATATGAGTGTGATCTCAGTGGTCACTATATTTTACATTTCTAGTGTAGGGGAGTGTGAAAAGATATTATAATTATCTTGAAAATATAGTGGAATTGTTCCGAGGTTGTCCCGTAGTTTTTTCATCTACATTGGAGGTTTTTCCACGTTAAATCTTGGTGTCTTATTTCTTGCATATTTTAGAAAAGAATTATTCCTGTTTTATTGCAAGAGATTTTCTTTTGTCATTCTTGAGTTGCTGTGAGATTATTATTTTTATTCACCATTTCACGTTGGTGTTTTAATTTACAACTTCCGCATTTGCGCATCTGAGCCCAACAGAAAGGGCCATGCTGTTGGAAGAGTGGTTGAACATGGAAAGCAGCTTTGGCGAGCTTGGTGATGTTGACTTGGTCAGAGTTAAGCTGCCAAAGAAACTTTAAAAGAGACGGCATATAGAAACTGAGGATGGTCCAGCTGGGCATGCATTCTTTTCCTATGGCCCTCTTTTCTTTGTTATGCCTCAAAAATAAAATTAAATATATAAAATTATGCTACCATGTCTATATTTCGTTTGGCCTTCGTTGCCTGCTATTGTGATTCTCTCGTGTATGAGTTCAACCAAAAAAGGAATTCAAGTGTTAGTCCAATGCTCATGTTTGTTTTAACCCGACCAGATGATATTTCTGCAAATTCATCCCATTTCATGGATTTGCTCTTGCGTAATTGATATTGGTGGAGTTTTATTGGTATTTTTGTGTTCCCTTCTCAGTGCATGTGAAAACTCATTAACATGGTTACATTTTCATTGCAATAACCTGCAGGTATGAGGAATAACCGGTACACGAGTTGAGCTTTAAATGAGCTCTAGCTAGCTCGTTAATGCGTGAAACTACAGCCTCAACAAGACGAGCTAGACTTGTTTAATTTAACAACACTATTATTTTAACATTAATTCATTATACATCCACTCACATTATTTTTTTTTTATTGATTTTCGTTTTGTTAGTCTAACTGTATCTTTGTTTTGGTTCGAGTACTGTCTGTTGACACCTCGATTGTAGTATTTTGGATTTTTAATTATTAGTATAGTTATTGTTTAAAAAAACAATCATATCATATACTTTTTTATTCAAATGTTATAAAGTTTTGTTATCAATTATGATGAGTCGATCCGTCTAATAATTAGATTGACTTACACAAAAATTTTATATATTTAAAATACAAATTATTGTGCGAGGTTGTTTGAACATTAAGCGGGTCGATATATCACACTCTATGACAGAAAACCACATATAATATCAAATCAAATATAGTATACATAAGTTTGAAAAAATATTTTGGCCGACTCAAACAACACAATTATTTGAAAATATATTTAAAATTGACTCTCACTGCGACTCTGCATCTTCTTTCTTTGAGTAGCACGCCCACACCCGTGGCAGTATGTTAAATACAGTATACATAATTTTGGAAAAAATATTTTGGCCGACTCAAATAACACAATTATTTTAAAATACATTTAAAATTGAGTGAGAGTTTCATTCCGACTCTGCATCTTCTTTCTCCGAGTAGCACGAACACACCCTTTGCACTTGCCATTTGCCAACAATATGCCCACGAACTCTCTCTCTCTCTTTCACTATCTCTCTCTAACACACACAGTATTGCAGATAATCACTTAAACAAAGCAACAATTCCTCTCAAAAAATGCAAACCCTTTGAAATTTTGTAAACCCGCTCTTCATCTCCGATTTTCCATTGAACCCCAAAGCTCCATCGCTTGTTTCCTTGTTTTATTGTTCTTTTTTGTGCAGCCCTTCATCTTTTAAACTTCAGTAGAAAAAAAGCAGTCTTTTTTACAAACCCATAAAGGACGAACAAACCTTCGGAGGCTTTTTGTCGGAGTTCGAGGATTTTCACCGACGCCGCCTCCGACGGTAAAATGCTCAAATTTTGTTCTCTGTTTTACTATTGTTGTTTTTTTTTTTTTNGTTCCGACCTTTGAAAGTTTTTTTTTGTTGTCTGGGTTTAGGAAGCATAAGTGGTTGAAAAGGCGACAAAAGAAAAAAAAAATGGTTTCACTAGACTCTGATGAAAGATTTATTTCCAAAAGCTTGCCCATTTCTCAACTGGTCGAACACATAAGGTACTCGTTCCGCGAGCGTGATTTCGTCGAGGTCCAGAATGCCCTAATCGAACGAGAGAACGACTTGAAAATGGAGATTGAAAATCTCGTTATAGAACGTGATTTGGCTAAGAAGGAGGTCTGTCTGGTCGAGAGAAGTATGAAGTCAATCAAGAGGTTTAAATTTGAGGATAAGCTGGAGAAAAGCCATAACAAGTGGAAGAAGCTGGAAGAGAGTGTTGTCCGGCTGGTTAATGAAAATCGAGAGTTAAAGAATCTTGAGAAAAGGGCTGAGGAGGAGCGTGACAGGATTTTTGCCGACAATATGAAGTTGGTGATCGAAAAGAATGAGTTGGTGTGTGAGTTGAACAAGAAGGTTAACGAGCTCGAGAGCAAAAACTTGGAAAATGAGGAGAATCGTAAATCTCTTGATACAATGGAAGCTAAAATGGGCCGAGAGATTCAGGAGTTGGAGAAAGAGAAATCGGGTGCGTCGAAGACTCTGGGTGAATTGAAGGTGAAAGTCTATGAGTCGAATAGGACGATTGCCGAGTTGACCGGGAAGCTTAATGAGCTGAAGAGAAAAAATTCAGAAAGTGAGGAGAAAATGGGCCAAGAAATTGATGAGTTGAAGAAAGAGAAATCGGGAGCCTCGAAGACCATTGTGGAATTGAAGGGAAAGGTCTGTGAGTCGAATATGACAATCGCCGAGTTGACTCGGAGGCTTAATGAGCTGAAGGGAAAAAATTCGGAAAGTGAGCAGTTGGTCAGAGCTGGTGATGAGAAATGTAAATCTCTTAATACACTGGTGGCGCAAATGGGCCAAGAAATTGATGAGTTGAAGAAAGAGAAATCGGGAGCTTCAAATACCATTGTGGAATTGAAGGGAAAGGTTTGTGAGTCGAATAGGATGATCACCGAGTTAAATCGGAGGCTGAAGAAAAAATATTCGGAAAGTGAGCAGCTAGCCAGAGCTGGTGATGAGAAATGTAAATCTCTTGATACACAGGTGGCAAAAATGGGCCAAGAAATTGATAAGTTGAAGAAAGAGAAATCGGAAGCTTCAAAGACCATTGTGGAATTGAATGGGGCAATCATCGAGGCGAATAGGACAATGAATGACTTGAGGGAGAAGGAATCGAAGTCCGATAAGTTTATTGAGCTGTACAGGAGCCAGATCAAGGGTTTGTGTCTGAAATTCCAGAAAAATAAGGAGGTGGCTGACGTGGCTGATCTGGTAACTTGGGAGGAGGGTGGGAATTTGAATTTTCAAGAATATAGGGGTAAAACCGGAAGCTCAGGAAATGGGAATATGTTGCATTGTGCTGGAGATGGAAGTAAAAGCTGTGGTTCGTTGAAGAAAGGTACTTATAAGTTTTGATTTAGTCGTCGAATGTGTATTTGGATGTTGTTATCTTATCTTATATGTAATAAAGAGAGACGAGTTTTGACATGGGCTTGTTTTATCTTCTGTAATCTTCTTTATAATATACTAATATTCGGTGCTGAATAGTTAGTAAAGATCAGACCTTTAATGGTTAATCTACAATACCAGATTCTTATTACTCCGAATTTAGTTTTACGAAATCCGAGCTTTGATGTCAATTTAATTCCATTTTGATAAAAATGGTAATTCTCTTGTTTGCCCGACTTTGAGCCTGTATCAAGCTACAGAATCTTTATCTATTAACTCTGATTAGTGGCACGTGTAATTGGAAATGTACTTAAGGCTCACTTCTGTTATAACTTTTTACGCAAGAGATTTTTTACCATAATAGTAACATGTCTGATTCATGGCTGCAGGCTGTACAATCTTAGTTAAGTGTTCGACTGGAGAGAATGGTGCAAGTATGGTAAAAACTCCCGGTTTACCTTCGGGTCAAAATCCTCTTCGACTGGAAACTAAGCCACTCGATTCAGGTATGGGAAGTAATGATATAAATGGGCCCGATATTTTCTATTTACTCAGTTTACTCATATTGAGATGTGCATGAAATTCTGGTATTTCCTTTAGCTTTGATGATTCGATTAGTGCTAGTTATTTGAACTAAGACTTTGATTTTAGTTAATGAATTAGTGAAAATGAGTTTAAAGCCCCTGCATTTTCTTTTGATTTGATTTTGTTATTCTTCCTTTTCTTTTCTTGTTCTGTTTTTGGAATCTAAAGCTGCTTATAATTGTAGAAGACAGGCTTGGATCTAAACATTTTTAAATTTTAAAAAGTAAGGGGAAAAGAAAGACTTACCTAAGTCCAGTGTCTTAAATGAGGTTCGTTAGTTTAAGTAAAAAGAAATTATTGTAATTTCTAATACAAATTAGAACAGTCCTCAAAGTTTGGTAAACCTAGCTGATACGCTAGCTGATAGCTTTTAAGTGAATTTTGAGTTTATAGCTGATAGCTTATGATTTGTGGCTAAAAAACTAGCTTATAAAAGTGTTTGGTAAAATTAGCTGTGATAAGCTAGATAAAATAAAAATTTCAATGGATTTACTTGAAAAGCTACCTAAGGAAGCATATGAGATAAGCTCGAGCTTTTTAAAAAAGCTCGTCCTATCAAACCAAACTTATTTGAATATATGAAGCTTATAAGCTAATCAAATAAACTATAAGCTAGCTTATGTGCTTACCAAACACAACCTTATGCAGTTTCTAGAGAACAGCTGCTTACATGTGGCAAGTTCGCACGGCCACTATTCTTATTTACTATTACCAACATCTTTCCGCACGTAACATAAAAAAAGATTTAAAACATCGCCTCCTTAAATCGGCACTAAACACTAGTTACATACATGCATGTTATTTTGCAGGCCCACATGCTAGAAACGAGCGGTCATTGGCCAAAAGAGGGTTTTCTAGTAGTATAGTGCATTCGCCTTTATCGGCCAGAAATCTTATCGAGTTATCAGACAGCGATGAGGATGAAGATCAAACGAAACTGAAAGGGTCAAACGAGGCAAATCTCGAGCAAAATATATGGTCAGATTTCATGGGGAAATTAAGTGCGAATTCGACTAATGGGCGGAACAAGAACACAAGGGCTAGCCACGAGAAGGAAAACGGTGTTTTGAAATCAACGGTCGAGCGAAAAACTGATTCTCGAACTCCTCACAAGAAACTTCGATTAATCGATGTGGATTCTAGTGGTTCGGATTGCTCGTGCACGGACTCGAAAATCGAGGCCTTTGTTGCATCCTTCAGGAAGTAAAATAGAAAAAAAGTAAAAGAGAAAAAAAGGAAAATGGTTAGTTTGACTAGTGATGGGAACTTCGGTGTTAATTGCTTTTATTATGTGTATTTTAGATAGATAGACAGTGTTTTTGGATAGTACCCAGCATTCTGTGAGTTGTATAATTTATTGGGAAGAAGTGTTTTTGGATAGTAGTTTATGTGGGTATATTGGCTAAAAATTAGGTTTTGTTCCAGAGATTCTTACATGTAGTTTAAAAACTCACTGAGGCATTATCCGAGAGTATGGTTTGATCAGCTCATGCAAATACTTTGTAAATATGTATTGTTCAACTGTATAAAGTAAAAACCCTGATTAAATGGGTAGTATGAGTATGTATAATGTAGTGGTAAAAAGTAAAAATTCTGATGAAATGGGTAGTATGAATATGTATAATCTTGAGGTAAAAAGAAAGTACTTTTTAAACCGATAAAAGTATAAAAACCTTGGTGACAAAGTAGCATGTATGTATAATCATATATATTATATATATGATTAAGGGGGAAAACAAAAAAGATAAAACACTAAGAGGTGAGCAAATGATGTAAATTTTTAATAAAAATAATATACATTAATAAATTAGTACATGTTAACTTAATTTAAAGCACTTCATAATATTTTATATTTTTTATTAAATAAACTCAGACTTCTAACATTTTCTAACTCAAATTCTAAAAATATTTTTAATTTTTCACTTGTTTATTTTGAATAAATTAATGAGTTCCTTTACTAAGTCCAGTCAGCCTTTTGAAAATTCAGTTGGTTTTTTTGTGAATGCTTTGTGTAATTATATATTGTGACTTTTTTTTTTTCCTTTTATTAAAGGGGTTTTGTTTGACAACTTCTCACCAACATTTAGTTATGTAATATGATGCAAACCTTCAATTAAAGTAATTCACATTGAAGTCATTCACAATACCAAAGAATTCTTTTTTGAACTTGAGTTATAAATAGGTGAAACCTCAATAATTTCTTACTAATTTTGTAAATAGTCAAACCTCAACTTATTTTGTTTTCCTTCTAAATTTTCCTAACTAAAATTGAATTGAAAAAGAAGGCGAGATCACAAAGAGTCTTGAAAATTTCACCTTTACATGTATTAATTGGTTTTTCATGTGTTGATCTAATGAAACAAAAACTCATTAACACTGGATAAAAAACATGGATGTGATCAAGAAGTACTGGAAAATTTCACTCCACCATACCAATGAAGTTAATGTAGTAATTGAATTTTTATTATTGGATCAACACACATTTGTACGAATATATGTATATGTGTTGATTTAATGGTACAAAATTTATTAAAATTGAATTAAAAGGGGGAAAAAAAAAGAGAGGATGAGATCAAGAAGAGTCTTGGGAAATTTCACCTGAGTGCAATAATTGAGTTTTTCCAGTTGAATGTATAATATTAGTATAAATTCATGTATGTGTGTTGATCCAAATGTAAAAGTTTATCAAAATTGCATCAAAATAGAGGACGAGACCAAATCTTGAAATTTTTCAAAACCCGTGACTACAATGTGGTAATAGAGTTTTTACATTTGATCAAAACATATTCTTATGAGTAATTAAACAGTTTTGTTATGGAGCCATCCGATAACTCGCCTTATGGAGTCATTCACACTTATTGGAATCAAACGTGTGTTTGTTTAAATTTTTTTTTAATTCATACTTAATCTATACTCAAAATTCTAACTCAAATGTAAATCAACCTAACTATCTTCAATATTATCAATATAATTAAATAATATCAATCATATCAATTTTAATTCATTATTCATCTACTCACATAATTTTAACTAACAATCATTTCAAATCATCTCTCACCTATTTAAATATGAAATCCAATTTTTAATTATTTATTTTAAATAATATTTTAATATAATATCAAAATCTCATTTACAACTAACTATATTATTTTTTTAAAAAAAAATTAATTATGGTTAACAAAAAAAGAAATTTGTTTTGAAACGGATATATCTATATCCAAACGCGCCCTAAGAGTCTTGTTGAGTCCCTGCTTTTTAGCGCAAAAAAGGAAAAGGACAAAAATCACGCACCCATCATTTCTTGCTCAAGCTCCACCTGCTTGATTCTTGAAGACCCTAGCTTACTTACACTCTCACCGTCTCACAAGCTCTCCCAATGAGTACTCTGGCGAAAAAGATGCCGGACGAGGCCAAGGTGGCGGACCTAGCCGGCGACTACGGAGCGCCTTTCCCCATTCACTCTCGACACGAGGGCGCCAGGTACGTCTCCCTCAACGGCCGCCGCTTTAAGAGCCCCAGATACCTCGATTTCGACCTCATGCCGGCCCTACAGGCCGACGAAGTCCGCAGGCACTGCCGTGCGCTGGGTTGGGACAAATTCGTCCGGACAAGATACGACGGCTACGAGCAGCTCATGCTGG